CAGCTGTTATTTGCTCTCCAACCTACTAGGGCCCCGTGTATTTCGGTGAAGGAGAGGAAGTCAAGGGCTTGTATATAAGAAGTCTCGGAGATACTCCAGTCGAGCTACCGTCTTACGTTATATTCCTTATCCATTCCCCCCCCCCTTGTCCCGCCCCCTTCTGTTGCAATAACGCTTAACTCAAGCGGGCTTAAGTGTATGGAAGTAAAGCACATCGGTTAAAACGATAACCGTTCGACAATATCCGCTTTCAACGTCCAACATTTATTCCATGTTGTACTCACCATCCCTCGATTTTCCACTTACTTCCTGTATAAATCCATACGAAATGCACGGATTTTTACTCGCAGTGGCTGAAAATTTCGGATAAAAATGTCATCGAGAGGGGAGATGCGCTATTGTTGGCTCGATTAAAAGTGAAATGTTGGATTGGGCAGAAATCGCCCCAAGTTGAATAATTGGACCTGACAGGTTCTACTTAGATCTTTCCGTTCGGAACTGGATAGGTCTTTGGAAGCCTCTTCCCAAGTGCTTCCAAGAGCTTTCTACCTCTGGTTATGTCTCATTTCAGCACTCGTTAGGTGTAAGCAGGACTTGCATTCAGACTTTTCAAATCCTTCAGAAATATTTCAAATATTTCAGAATTTCAAAGGGTCAGATTTTCCGTTTTTCCAGGGGAAAGTCGACTTTCGCCAAAATCGAATTTTTCAGCCGGGTGAACGTTGATTCCAACTATTTAAATGACGGGTTATTGAGAACTCTCAAAAGTATGTGGAAAAAGTGAAAACTGAAAAAAAAAATTTTTCACCGGAGGCCAAAGTGTCAGATCTTGGAGTTTTTCAGGGGGAAAATTGGTCAAAGGGTCACAAGGGTGACGAGGGCCAAAGTGTCAGATCTTGGATTTTTCCAGGGGGAAAGTCGACTTTCGCCGAAATTGAATTTTTTAGCCGGGTGAACGTTGATTCCAACTATTCAAGCGACAGGCTATTCAGAATTCTCAAAAGTATGTGGAAAACGTGAAAACTGAAAAAAAATTTTTTTCACCGGGGGCCAAAGTGTCAGATCTTGGATTTTTCCAGTCGACTTTATCCAAAATCGATGTGCATTTGAATAAAAAATAGAATCAAATAACAAAAATGCTTTTAAAATTTCATTATTCCCTTTAACAATATTACTATTGGAGATCGATAAACCCATATAATTCCTTAAATAAAAATAGTTTCATCATAATATATCCGTTACGAAACGGATAATTGATCAATAAAATGCATCCACTTTCATCAATTCCCGAAAACAATTCAATCGAGATAAAGTCAATGACTCTCGCTGGCGACAATTTTCATTTCATCACTCATGTTGAGTTCTAATATTCAATAATAATCCCACTCTTATCTATCGCCATCCTATGACGTCCGCTGGAGCGATAAAACTATTACACCGATAACCAGTGTGATTTTAAAGGTCAACAACATCAATTTACATGGTTTTTTCATCATTACCATTCCGATGTCTCTTCCAATCCCCGCGGGGTTGTAAAATTTTCTCTCGAACCGGAAAAATGCGTCGACACGTGGGTGGAGTAGAGTTTCGGGGAAAACTAGAATTGAAGTTGTGGAAACGAGTGCCAGCAGGGGGTAAACGAAGTTACCAGAGAGAACTGCAAACGTATACACATGACCCATCGAACTTTTACCCGAGAGTTGGGAAATTCGGCGGTGAGGGGGGAAGGGGGAATATTTCAATTCGAATAAATTTCAACCATTGTGCGACTTTTCTTTACTGTCGGCTTTTCTCACTGAAAGAAAACATTATTTATTTCTCCCATTATTTGCTATTTCTTTATTGAAATAGAGAATATTTGATGTAGTGAAGCAGATTTACGTGAGGAAAATTAACCAACTTGATGAGAGAAAATTTAATTTCTCAAAAACAATCAATTTTTGTCATGATTATTAGAAATATTTCTAGAAGAACATTGACAAATATAATTTATTGTACATTGTTAAAAAAATTTACTGAAATTTTCGGTGAAAGTCTTGGAAATTTTTAAGAAGTGACATTTCTACTGAAATTTCTAGGAATTTTCTCATTAAAGCTTCAAAATATCGAGGAAAATCCGCGGGAACTGTTCAATTATTCCGGGAAAATTAGTGAATAATCAAAAAAAATTTGAAAAATCTCTTGTTGAATTCAAGATCTCTCTGAATTTTCAGGTAATTCCTTTAAAAATTCCTGGAATTCCAATGGTTTTGAAGGAATCCCCTGAAAGCTCTAGAAAATTTGGCAGTGAATATTTAATTTTACTTGAAAATTCATGTCAACGTAAAAATTTACGTCTTCCTACCACTAAAAAAATTGGCGTTTATTTGAATTTTCAAAGTTTAAAATTCCTTGACTAAGCTGGACTCTTTCCTCTTAAATCGAATTCGTCTTTTTTTTGGAAAATTCAGTCAAATTTATTTATCACTGCACCGCAGTCATTTGATTTGAGAAAAACCTACAGGCTTATGCCATGGAAAGACTTCATTAACGAGGAAAGAATATTTTTTTACCAACACAGAAATTTACCCTAGAATTTATTCTTATTTTTTAAATAATAAAATCATTGCAAAAAAAATGAAAGCTCTAATGTTCGACTACAAAAGTAGAAACCGATTTCACTGGAGAAAAAATAGCCAAAGTACTGGGATATCCTTAATAATATTCACTTGATAAACCTGCAACCTCCTCTAAATTCTCTGTAGAACTAGTGTAACAACCTTTTTTCATTATATTTATCTACAACTAAATTGATTCAACGCTACAGAAGCGATCACTTCCGGGAACATAATTTTTCGGCAGAAAAAATTATTTCTCCCAGTTCTCCATCGAGAAACTGTCAACGGACTTCGGTAAATTAAAACTGACGGCGTACTCCTATTTAAAAATCATAAACTGAACAATACACTCGTGTATACACATATGTCCTTCGTCAAAGCGGAAAGTCTGTTTGTCCATAAAACAATTGGATCGACAACAGCATGCGTATATACATTGTATCGGCGTGTGCCCCACGTGTTCTAACAATTAGCGTCAACTTGGCGGCGCGGAAAATGCCATTGGTTAACTATCATCATCGGCTTTCGTGATTCTCGCATTTTTCAATATTTTTTTTCACACAGATAAAAACTTCAAGAATAATTCACGGAGAAAATAACACACGCAGAAGAAAACAATCGGTGCTAATGTCTCCAGTGTGAGGGGTTAAATATTTTGGTGTTAAAATCAACTGCTTTTGGGAGTGGATTTCAATTTTTCACACCAAATTGTGTTGATTATCATGCTCATGTTGACACTATGGTGGTGTCAATTTTCACTCCATTCATTCCTCAACTCCGAAATTAATATACTCCAGACATTCAGTAATTTTCTGAAAAATGTCACTGATTTTCAGGAAACGATTCCTAATTTTTAAGAATTTATCGCTCAAGTAGCGGTAGACACAATCGTAATACAGAATTAAAATGATTTTATTACATGCAAAATCAGAGATAGCTGTATCTTAAAATTTTTCAATATTTATTAAATTAATTATCAATCAAAATTTGCAATTCTTGAAATATTAAATTAATCATTAATCAGATTTTTCAATTTTTCAAATATTTTCCAGGCAGTAATCAACTTCCCAAGAATGATGATCATTAGATTAATGGAAAAATTAAAGTCAGATATTGAGAATTAATTGTTTAATTGTTTAATTGATAACTGTAAATTATTGTCACATTTAAATAAAAAAATAGTGAACTTTGATTAATCTTCGGTGAACTTCTTTTAAAATTACGCAGTAACATTTTTCGCCGATCCCTCATCCATTTCATCATTGAAAATTCGCAATTTGCTGAGAATAAAAAGCCAGACTGTAATCTTCAGTTCAATTACTCCGCGGAAATTAACGCAAATTAAAAAAATTTAAGTAAATATATTGTTGAATTTCCAATTAAATTGAGAATTCAACGAAATTTGGTACTAAATAGTCTAGTTTTGATTGAAGGCTCATGTCATTCTGAAAATGCTCGTCTTCCTGCTGCCCAATAATTTTGGATTCCCTCGAATTTCCAGTGAAATTTGAAATTTCGTGATTTCTTTCCTTATGGAATCGGATTCAATAAAACCTTCCCGGGGCCATTATGCAGTCATAATCTCCAAAGAACCTCAACTTCAATTCAAAATTTCTTACTGGCGTCTCGAGTCCTAAATCCCCGCCCCTCCAGGTCAATCTTAATTCAAACAAAATAACAATTACAAAACTGAATCATTAATTTTCTATTTTTCCCATTACATTTTTGACCCATCAATGAATTAATCAATCTACACCGCAGTGATAAAAACGATTATCAACAGAACCCCAACACAAATAATTACAATCCCCTCCGCAAAATTCCCCCAATAATTCTATCATCTCCTCCAACAGTTTTCACCCACATCTTCAGAACAATTTTTATCCCACAATTTTCTCCGCGCAAACCTCCGTTGCAATACAGAGAGCGATGCACGTCCTTTCACTTCAAGTGCAGGTCATTCTCGCTTTCGAACACCTACAGCATGCCATCATAGAATTGTTTATTCCACATGTTCCTCGAAAGGTCGTATCAACCAGCTCCCCCTCGCCATTAATAACCCCGCAAAGAAAGCCCTCAAAAACAACAACTCAACAGGTG